CTCTCTAGGTTTGGAAAGTTTTCTTGCAGGATTTCATGGAATAGATTATCAATGCCCTTATGGGTCTCTTCACCTTCTGGAATGCCAATTATCCAGATATTTGGATGTTTGATGGCATCCAGTATGTCTCGCATATTATTCTCAAATTTTGGGGCCATTTTCTCAGTCCCCGTGGTGGATTTTTCTAGGTGATCCATTTTCTCCTCTACATCTGAGATTCTATTTTCTGAATGATCTAGTCTGCTTTTAATACTTTCAAGGGAAATTTTTACTTCTTGTATTATAGACTTCATTTCTAACAGTTCCGTTTGATTCATTTTTAAAGTGTGTAATTCTTCCTTTAGATCTTGCAAGAATTTCCTCACTTCCTGGAACTCATCAACTTCTTTCTCCTTTCTCTTTAGCAGTTCATTGTCTCTCTTCTCTTCCATCTCTGTTAGCTTCGCCATTACGAATGCTCTAAATTCTTTATCAGACATTCCCATAACTTCCATTGAACCTTGTGGATGAAGAAAAGTTACTCCTTTCCCTAGGAGGAGAGGTATTTTCTTGTTTTCCCATATTTCTCGTGATCCAGCGGTGATTTCTTGGTCATCTGATGGATGTTACGTTTCTTTCAAATTCTTGAAGTTCCACCTGAATGTTCAGGAGCAAGCAGACAGAGATGATCTAGAATCTCTTTGCCTTTCTGTTGAGATCACGCTAGCTTGTTTGCTGGAGGCTCAATTATCAGTAGAAAATCTTCATTCCCTGAAAAATCTAGTTCGCTGGAGTCATGTGGAACCTTTTTCTGAAGGCCCAGCTTCTTCTGCCGCTAGCTCGTTTGCTGGAGGCTGAATTATCAGTAGAAAATCTTCATTCCTTGAAAAGTCTAGTTCGCTGGAGCCATGTGGAACCTTCTCAGATTTTAGATTTTTTTGATTAGGGATGTTCAACTTATATTCAGCACATGGAAAACACTGTTTTTGTTTTTGTTTCTGTTTTTCCTTTAGTTTTTGCCATAGGGCATTTGGGCTCACCAGAGAGAGACAGAGAGGGAAAGTGAGAAATCACCCCCCCTCCTGCCTGAGGGTATGGCCACATCACAGTCCTTCTCCTCCATTCTCCTCTTGGATTTTTGGGCACACACACACACATACCCAGCATGAGTTTCAAGCTGTCAGCTTGAACCACAGTCAGCCCTGTGGAAGTCTAGTGCTTTAACCATCACATCACTTGGTGGCCCCAAAACACTGTATCTTAAGTATACAGTGGTGATTCTCAACTGAGATTGATTTTTCCCACAGGGAATATTTGGTAATGCCTAGAGACATTTTTTGGTTTTTATAGCTACAGGTATACTATTGCATCTGGTGGGTAGAAGCCTGGTGATACTCTTTATCCTATAGTGCACAAGACAGCTACCAATAGCTATAGTTGAGAAACACTGATAGAGCAAACTGCAAAGAGAAGCTATTTAGTATTTTATTAGAATCTCTTACTGGGTTGTCAGAAAAGTCATGCATTTTTCTGTTTTTCTATTAAAAAATGCATCATGCCTTTTCTGACAACCTGCTCATTTGTCTCCTTAAGTTGGTTGGAAGGAGACTAAATTATGTTAATAATTCACTAGGCTGGCTCTGTTGCCCAATATTTAAGGGAGCTGGATCCTACAGGTCTGACTGCACAGTTTGACTGGACCCAGTAGATTGAAAAACACACTCGGCATGTGTACTTGCATGCCCCAGATCCCAGAAGGATGGAGATATGGAGAAGAAGAGATTGTGGCATGGCTAGACCCTATTGAGAGGTGCTTCCTCCCTCTTTCTTTCTCTCTTTCTGAAAAACTTAAAAAAAAATTGATTAAAGATAACTGAGTCCTCTATATCCTATACACAAGTACACACAGACTCACATGTAGATTCTAACTTGTGCTCAGATGCTTTTCGTGTTCATTCATACTTATTCACTTCTATATGTATGCTTGTGATTGCTGCATGAAAATCTCTTGAGAGCTTATTTATTTGACTTACAAAGAAAAGCTAGCAGATCAGGGTGTTTGCCCTTAGAACCTCATGTATCCACATTTCAGGAGAAAAAAAAATAGTTTTTAGATCTTAAGGATGTAGTTAGTAGCTTTATTTGGCTAGAATTCTATAAGAATATTGTTATTTGAAAATATGCAGAATTTCTAGGTAAGGGATACATTCAATATGTAGCCACCTGGAAAGAGTTACTGTGGATTTTAGCTAGGCCAAGAGAAAAACCCAAATAATGCAATCTCATGATAGCCAACTACTGCACAGAATTTAGAGAGGAATTGTATTGTGGAACCGAAAGAAAAAGCTGATTTGTTAACTAGAGATTTTTATCAACGGGGAATAAGAGAAGAGTCTCATATAGATTGAGATGGATAGGAAGTGAAACTCATGAAAATGAAATAGTCAGTGTGTGGCCAGGTCCTGAAGACATAGTTCAGG